ACCATCAGCTATTGTTGAATGGACCGCCGCAACATGTTAGGATGATTTACATCATGGAGGATAAATGCCTTTTTGCATAATTTCTATTGCGTCCCACAACTCAACGGACTTACCCATAAGTGGCATATTACCCCAAGGTCAGAAGCAAATCACAACTATTAGAGCTTATTGCAAAGAAAAATGATCAGATGGGAATGACATTACTGTGAATTTTACAGGTTCTTTGGAAGAACAAAACAAACTACTACAATAGTTGTTTTTTTTAACAGTGAGTTACAGCGCAAGCACCTTGAAAACATGCTGGCGCATTAGAACCCTACAATAATTAGGAGTTTCAAAAGTATCCATCTCAGCAACAAATATAGGATAAAGGTTCACATAACCAGTTCATCACTGCTGTGAAGCAGAATTAAAATTAAAGTTTCTGGCAGAGGTGATGGAATATTTTCACCATCACAAAATTTTTGTGTATTTTAATGTGATTCAAGGCTCAAAGTAGTACCCACTTGTGAAGCGAGAAAAAATAATAGATGGTATTTAATATTCATTGCAACTAAAAATCTGAAGCACGTGGTGTCTGGCTAGACTTTAAAATCCAGTGCAACCACCTAGCTGCAGAGATCATCTCACTGGTAAATGAGTCAGTTTCTTGTATAATCTCATTATATATTCAGCTAATCTGAGTCTCAGTAGATATGAATATGCTTACAAGGCACTGCTATTCTGTTTTTTGTATCCCATAGCAGTCCAATTTCCTTCCAACTCGGATTTCTACATGACAGAAACTCCAGCTTATACTCTGCATCATTAACATTTTGTTTGGAGCTATTTTACTCAAACTGCTTTCAATTTTTTGGGGATGTTAATTTTCAAAAGCTATGTATTTTATTCCCAGGAAGAAAATATTTTACCAAATATTGGAATTTTGTGAAATATTCACAAGCTGATCAGCAGCACAGAATGTTGAGGAGAAGTCAGCAAGTGGTGGACAAAACATAGTTTCAAGATTTATCTCAAGGCTAAAACTTATGAATTCATTCTCTGCTTACACAATGCTAATCTAAACTTGCAGATGCATTGCGTTTTATTAAACAAAGCCGAGGAAAGTGTCATGTTTAAGAACTTTAATATAAAGACTGTATAGCTTTTCTTGTCCTGATATGAAATGAGGAGTCCAAAATGGAGGGGTAATTGCTGATTGGGGCCAAAGAAACAAAATGGAGGTCATACAATAACATCAGGGTTCTCTGCTTATTATGACAGGTAACTGGGAAGAAGTAAGAATGATAGTGCTGAGAGACACGTTTGAGCCTGAAGATGATAAATAGGATTAGAATAATTTTGCTAAGAAGTGTGCTTTTGAGTTTTGCCTGTCCAAAAACAAAACGTGAAGAGATTTGAATAGAAACACTCTTTGTTTCTAAGAAGAAACCAAGTATCCAAGAAGAAATACTTGGTACAAGAAGAGATACAAGAAGAGATACCATTCAAACCATCTTTGAAAGCTAGATCTTGCATATGTTAATATAATGCTTTGGATGTCGTAGTCTACAAATCGTGGTATTTTATACTTTTTTTACTGTGAATTTTACAGGTTTTTTACAATGTGGAGAAAGTGGCAAATCTCATAGTTTTAGATGAACTGATGACTTGGGCTCCTAAATGCTTCAAACGACAAAGGGCACAATGTCCCCATGATGCTCTTTATAGATGTAAGTATTTAGATTATTTTGTCTAAACTCGTCCTTTAAAGTCCTTCTATAAAAAGCTAACAGTTTGGAAATAATCTTAAGAGATACATTATGAAGACTGATACTGACTTCAAAAGTTCCATGAGTGAAAACTGAGAAACTGAGAAACTCTTCTCAGGCCTTTCAAATTCCAGGACTGAAGCCATGTGTCACTATTCATAGGCCAGAGATGAATAGATTTTAATGGTAACTTGATTATGAAATGACAACCCTACATGAACAAATAGGGAAAGCATGATAACTGGTTTAATTTTAGAAACATGTTATGAGGGAGGAGACAAAACAAAAACCTAGAACTGAAAATATATAAAGCAAAATATGAAAACTACACATTATTGAGGTATGGAGATGCCTGGAGGTTGGAGTCTGAATACAGATGCATGCAAAATTTGTCCAATCTGAATTTGTAAAAAAAAAAAAAAAAAAAAATCCTGAAAGGTCAAATTTTCTGTCAATTTCACCAATATAAAGCACCTTGTTTTAGTCTATGAAATAAAATTCCAATAAAATAAATGGGAAAATAAGATACCTTGATAAATGAAACTAAAGTTGATAAATTTAGAATGTGTGAATACTTTCGAGAGGAACCGTTTTTCCAAATAAGAAGAAATTTTCAATTATAAAGTCTCAGTTTTCAGAAATTTGCTGCTGTAAAATCAAAAGTATATGCTTTTTCATAAAGAGAGAAATAACCTTTTGTATTTATGTCCCTAAATACAAAATGATTCCACTCACATGGCATCGGTTGCATTCATGTTAAGCGGAGTTAGTAATGCTTTGAGGTTATGGAGATGAGGTCAACCAGCAGTTGCATGCTCAAAGCTCTTTTCCCCCAGGAAGATGCACACCGCAGTTGAGACCTGTCATTATTTATGGTCTCTGCATAAAAATATCTGAATCGCTCTTGGTCTGACCCGGCCTTGAAGCCTTTATGCCATGTGAGACCCCACCAGAGGTGAAACCAACAGACAGCAAAGACTTCTAGACCATAGGGGTACTCAAACCCCTCCACCACGTTAAGGTGGCGATTCTGCGAAGGGGAGGAAACCAGCAGATTGCATCAAAGCTTCATATGAATGCAATCCCTCATCCTGAGCAAGCCCAGGGCGACAGTGGAGAGGAAGCACTCCCCTTTCCTTTCAAAGGAAGAGACCTCTAGCAGAACCAGGCTCAGGATGGGCGGCCCTCTGCCTTGACCGGCTGGGGTTGGAGAGGACAGGAAAGTGGACAAGACAAATAAAACATACACTGGAGCTCTGGCTCTGATGAAAGAAAAAACCTAAAAATAACAAAGAACATGTTAATGGTTAGATATTGCCTGAGTGGAGTTACAAAAACAGCTCATAAATGAAAACATAGTCAACAGAACATCGGAGAAACCAAATGACCGAACATCATAATAACATATGAGGTCTGTTGTGCCTGGTACTCGTCAAATCTCTGGATTTGACCTAAAAAAGGACAATTCTCCATATTGCATAATTAACTGTATCAATCTGAAGAAAAAATAATCTGTCAGGTTCAGGTAGTGAAGTAGAGAGTGAACAACACTCACGAAGATATACAAAAAGACAAGAGAGTGGACAGAAAGTGAGACAGGATAAGGTGAACAATGAAAATGTGACTACTGACAATCAAAAACAATATATATTACACAAATATGTATATTGTGTAAACCACAAATACAAGGATACTTTGTTCCTCCTTTTCCCAACCTTTACGTGTGCATGTAACTATGTGGTAATGCCTGTAGTAATGTCCTAACTGATTTCCCTAATGTGAAATCTGCATTTTCAATGTCAAAAGGTTTCCATCAACATGTATTTGCCGGCCTCCCCCTTGCAACCAATGCCCAGTACTGACTCTGGAAGTCAGGAACAACAACCAAAGTCCAACAACAAAACAAGTGATTCAAGCCAGCCAACAATGCCCCATACTACCAAAGAATACTGACTCCCCAACCCAGTGGCCCCATACTAACCCATTCCTGGAAAGACCACTATCCTATGACAGGTGCACAACAATGAAGGCGCAGAAAAGTCACCTTAAACACTCCATGGTGCAGCTCCTGGACACACAAATCACACAACTGGTACCTGCACTACATCTGGAAACCCATACTGTACAACAGAGTCCATGGATCCCATCCTGCATGACTGTATCCAGAAGCAAGTGGCAAAGAAACTTGCCACTTGTTCCAGCTGACCAAGGTGTTCCAAGGTCAGCCGAGAAACATAGTGCCTCCGGCGTGTCCTGGGTTTTCCCCAGGGACTCCTCCCGGTGGGATGTGCCCAGAACACTTCACCAGGGAGGCATCCAGGAGGCATCCTAACCAGATGGACGAGCCACCTCAACTGGCTTCTCTGGACTCCTCCACTTGGGGCAGGATAACTCACCACCAGGTAGTGGTCAGTGGACAGCTCCGCTCCTCTCTTCACCGGAGAGAGTGTCCGAGACATACGGCCGAAGATCAGATGAAACAATGACAAAGTCAATCATTGAACTGCACCCTATGGTGTCTGTTGTCAAGTGCACATATGGACACCCTTATGCCTGAACATGGTGTTTGTTACAGAAAATTTGTGACAGGCACAGAAGTCCAACGACAGAACACCACTCAGGTTTAGATCAGGGGTTTGTTCCTCCCAACCACGCCTCTCAAGGTTTCACTATCATTGCCCATGTGTGTGTTGAGTCCTCCAGTAGAACAAGGGATTTCCCAGGAGGGGCACGCTCCAGTAGCCCATCTAAGGACTCCCAGAAGGGTGGGTAATCTGAACTGTCGTTCGGCCCGTAAGAAAAAACAACAGTTGGGACCCGTCCCCCCACCCATAGGTAGAGGGAGGCTAACCCTCTCATTCACCGGGATAAATTCCAATATGGGAGCAACATGTATGCCCACTCCTGCCTGATGCCTCTCACCATGGGAACTAGTGGCTGGGGAGAGGGAAGTCTGGGTCTCCCTTCTGGATGGATGGATGGATGGATGGATGGATGGATGGATGGATGTATGGATGTATGGATGTATGTATGTATGTATGTATGTATGTATGTATGTATGTATGTATGTATGTATGGATGGATGGATGGATGGATGGATGGATGGATGGATGGATGGATGGATGGATGGAAAATCCAGCATTTCTACCTTAATATATGGGACATTCTTCAGACTATGAGAAGAAACCGAAGCTCTGGGAGAAAAACCAGCATACTAACATGTCACTTAAACCTAAACCCAATCCTCATCCTAATTTAGACCAAACTAAATACTAAAAAGTTATAACTCCAATGTCTGTGTGTGTATGTTTAAGAAAACCATGGGTGACTGATTAGTTCTTCCAGCGTGGGACGCTCATTTGGGTGTTCCTTCAGGCACTTGGTCAAAAGATCCTGGCAGTCTGGAGGGTCAAAGGTCAAAATGCAACAACAGTTAGGTCTGCAGACAAAGGACAGACTTATATATGCTGTGAAAATATATAATACAAGTGTTTGTCTAACTCTTGGAAAGGCTCTTGTTGATCTTCAGCTTGTTTGTGAGGAAACTGACGGTTTTGAACATCTTGTTGTGTAGAATTTCAAACAGGAGCACTCCCAGCTGCCATACCGTTGTGGGCCCAGCAGTATATTTCCTGAGACTGTGAAATTCTGGTGGGATGTGATCACGGGTACCTAAAAATGCATGAGAATAAGACAGTCAAAAAGTTGAAGAAGGCTAAAAAGAAGTTCTGTTTTCACAGTAGAGACAGAAAGAAGAGGGATATCATACCACGGAGAAGTGCAAATTTCCTTCCGCGGTCAAAGCAGCTTAGACCGAAGTCTATGAGATAAGCTTGTGGGCCTTCTGAGCTGCTCTTAATCAGGACATTTTCCACTTTAATATCTCTGTGGAAGATATTTGCATTCTGAAGATGAATCGTTGCTTCCACCAGCTGTTTTAATATGATCTAAAAGAGAAAAATGATTTGAATCTCAAAATTCTACATAGTTTTGATGTTGGACATTGGTAAATTGTAAAGGTATTCCTAATAACATGAATTTTTTTCCCCCATTTTGTCACAGTACAACCACATAAATTAATGTATTTCTTAGAGATATTATGTGATTAACATAAAGTACGGCAACATATCTAAGTGGAGGAACATTGGACTCTACCTTGGCCTCCTCCTCATTTAGACAACCTTCATGCTCATCAAGATAGACAAAGAGGTCCTCTGAAGGCATGGGCCTCTCCATCACTAGAAGCAGCTCTTCCTCCAGCTCATACCAGTCCAGCAGGGACACCATGGCCAACTGCCCTGATGAACTGGTAGTAAGATTCCTCAGCTTCAACATGATGGCCACCTCCAATGCCATCTTCCTGCCGTTCTCATCCTGAAACATCAAAGCAAACAGGAGACAATGCATCTGGAATCCAGCAAAGTCTTAAAGTCAGTCTTAGATGTTGTTGCTCACTTACCTTATGTTTTAGAAACACATTGTCTTTTGGGATGTGTTTGATAGCCACCTATAACATAGAAACAAAGCATTGCTCAGCAATCGGAATCTCTTTAAACGGAATGTTCAAGGTCAAGTATGTATGGAGTTATCAGTATTACTGTCAGGTGCATTGCCACAAAAATCACAGCCAAGTGGTCTATTGATCAATTTTGGTTTTATAGCTTCTGAGTTTTACATGAACAAAGAATTACAAATAAATTGAGATAAAAATTGAGATAGGATCACTTTTTATCTTATTAGATCATAGTTCTGCAACCTGCAGAACTATGATACTGAATGACTTGCCTGTAGTTATCACTCATATTTTAAATATCCCAAAGACACCTACAGGCAACTTATCCTTCTGTCGATATCCAGCAAACACACATCCAAAGCCTCCTTCTCCGAGTTGATGCAGCTCAGTATATTTTTCCTGGAATTTGGCTAAACACATGAACACATGTTTGAGTTTCACAAAGCATGAGGATAAAATCCTGTTCACTAATGCTACCTCAGATTTAATTGTAGAAGTTCTAACTTCTACATTTTTTTAAAGCTGCCAACTTAAATTCTGACCTCTTTGGGAAGTCACTTGTTCTTTTTTTGTCTTCTTTGTTGGTGGTTCCTCAAAGTCATCCACCTTCCTTTTCCGATTCCTCTTTCTTATTTCTCCTGTAATGCAAAGTATTGGACTGAAGTCACTGGATCCTAAAAAATCGAAACATCATAAGTTTTTCGACCTTTAGTTACCATAAGGCAAAAATGGCTGGACAGACAAAAAAAAAGACGTTTGTGCCTGCATTCCGCAGCATTTGTTATAGTCTCATTAAACTATTCCCCCTGTCTTTACACTGTAATTAGTAGATTAGCACAACTTCAGATCATGCATTGTTTTTGGCTTTGTCTGTATTATAGGCTTGTTGAATGTGCCACAGAAAGCCACACCCGCCCTGGCCATCCAGCAAATAATTCTGAATATCGGGTTGGGCTTGGGTCATAAATCTAAACTCTAATTTGATTGGTGAACAAAATATTTAGTTTGTCAATAATTTAGCTTGAAAATAAATATTTATGTAAAATGATAATTTACTTGCTGATAACCACAAGTGGGCTACCAAAATAAAATCCAGGCCTTGCAAACACCTTTTTAAACTCCTGCTGCTGAGACTGAATTGCTTCCTGTCACCTCTTTACATTTCCTCTTTTTTTGTGCAACAGGTTAGCCTAAAACAAAGGATGAACCATTTTAAAGTCAACACACATTTCCCAAAGGAGCAACAGTGGCTTCACCAGCATCTGACCACCAGGAGTTTAACGAGAGGTTAGCAAGACCCAGCTTTGATATTGATTCTCTCGTGAATTTGCATATTACCTATTACGTTTTATGTGTCATCAATAATGACACTTTTAATGCAAAGTTGACAATTTTAATGGACTTTTAATGCATGTTTCAATGCAACATGTTGCGATCTGATCTTTTCAAATGTGACCTGTGTCAAGTGCTTTGTTTGTGCTGTGCAATGAGTGCATTTTCAGAGTTCCCCATAGTAAAAGAGACTGGATACAAAGGAATATCGAAATGTTTCAATTTTTCAGATGAAAACTATGCTTTTTGTATCAGTTTGTTTTGTCAATGTAAAGTAGAGCAAAGCAGCCAACCTGAGCTGATGTCCATTGAGGAGGACGTCTCTTTAGTTTGGACCTGCTGCAGGAATCCCTTCTTCTTCTTCTTAGTTGGTGTTGAACATCCCTCTGCTTCTTCTGTCATTTTCCTCTTGATGTCGTCCTGGCAGGTTGTGGAGGCTCCGGTCGTTGCAGAGACCCCTATTCTTTTTCTGGGGGTCTTATCTTGAACTTTTTTGACTTTCTTTGGTCTGCATCCCTGAACAGACTCCATAACAGGTGGGGTCACCCAGCTGTTGTCTATAAGGAGAGATATTGGGAAAAATATGCAATGGTTTTGACCATTTGTCATGTCTGAATCACCTCACTGATATCTGACTTTATTACAAAAACTGTTCAACCTTTAACTGATTTTTACCAAGATGTGGGAGAAGCCAACAGATTTACTCATTTCAGTGTTCCCAAGCAAATAATAAACTCATGAGTAATAATAATAAATTTTATCTATAGGCTGAATGGTAAAAAACTATAAACTACTTATGTATTATGAGCGCAACTATAGGCTGACTTTCTATGATCAGTGTGTAAAATGTACTTATAAATTCAAATTAATCTATCTTTCCTCAAAACTGAAACAACTATTTCTTGATAGCCTTGAGTGAAACTCATGAACTCAGTTACCTCGTTGTCTCCTGAGGGCGGGAGTTTTTCCCTTCCTTTTACATTCTTTGACCATCTTTGTCTTTTTCTAGACTTCCGTGTAAATTACTTCAAATACAAGTGTTGGCAGTTTTACCTCTCGTAGTTACGTCTCACTCTATCAGAGATTTCTGACGAACTGAACTCAAATAGAACTTTGGGTTCTGACACCAACCAGTGTGACATCAAAAATAACATTCCAAAATTTGGTCATAAATGTCAGAATGGAGGTGATGTTGCTTAACCCTAACCTCCAACCTTCCGAACGCAGGAAAAATCCCCACAATCAAATATCCACATTTTATTCAATGTCAGTTTTCCAGGAAAGAGTAGAGGAATGAATCCTAAATATTGGAGCAGCACAGATGCTTCATGATTGCCTCAAAAACATGTTAAAATTAAAAACTATTTTAGCTCGTATTTTCACCATTCTGTAGAATCCAAAAAGCATATTTTGTCTGGATTTCACAAAAAAAAAAAAAAAAAACAATTCCATACATTTTTCAGGTTTATTGTCTTTGTGTAGATTTGATTTTTTCTTTTCTTTCCAGCAACAAGAACAGGATATAGCTCACTCTTGGGTGATTTTTTTATTTTATTTTATTTAAATTAATGTGTGAATAAGGGCTATTTCGCTCTTTAGGAGCAGTCACATTGTGTTGGTGGTTCCTTTTACTATAAAATTTAGTTTTATAGTAACTATTGTTTAATCCTTAGTTAAATCAATACATTGAATACATTGTTCAACTATATTAATACTCTTTTACAGAAAGTTTCTTATTATTCACCAAAGCGATTATGGTAGAGTCTCAGTAACATAATGTGGACAAAAAATCTGTTTGGTGTCAGATCAGGCTTGGTGTCAGATCAGGCTTGAGACTCTGGCAAATGGCAAAGAGCAAAATCTTTACAGCACAGCAGCTGTACCTGCAATGAGCTTGACTTGGAGCTGCAAGCCCTAACAAAATATAAAAGTCTTTATACAATGTTGTCACTCTGGCTCAGAGCCAGTTCCAGTTTAACAGGTTTAATGCACAGTCACTCTTAACAGGGTGGGAAGTACTTCAACGTCATCCTCACTGAAGGGTCAGTTAATTGCTGAGATGATAAACATCTTCTTTGTTCAAAATAAGTGAGTTTCAAGACTTAGGTTTATTAATGGAACAATTTTGCATAACAAGAACATTTCATACATTTTTCAAGTTTATTGTCTTTGTGTAGATTAGATTTTTTTTTCTTTCCAGCAACAAGAACAGGATACAACAGCTGAGTGCACATATACGTACACTCAGCTGTTGTATCCTGTACCCTGAGCTTGTGACATTCGATAGAGGAATTTTTTAAACCTTAGGGTTTATTCCATCTCACTATTATCTAAACTAACTATTCTAATCTGTTAACAGACACTGGTGCCTTGCTTTGGTATGTGTGGTGAAACATTAGTCCACGTAGAGAAAGGAAACCCATCTGACTAGTTCTGCAGACATTATCTGGCCTTCATACAGTCCAAACAAACACTAATATGGTTAAATGAGTAAAATAATTAAAATTGTTAAAATAAATAACACAATTTTCACTTCACACTTAACATTTATTGTTATATTTTTTGTATTTTTACATTCATTTTTTGTTATTCATCAGGACAGACCAGTGTGTGGCTGTCTGAAGAGCAGTTTGAAAAAACCAGTAAAGCCACCAGCACATATTACATATTTATGCTATTGTAAATATTTTCCACCACAGACTAACAGGCTGGTGTCTGTTTTAATGTGGGAAAGCCTGAAGATCATAAGGTTCCTCAGTAAGTGATGCTTCTCAGGTCGTTTTCATGCATAACAATTTTACCTGAACTGATATATATATATATATATATAATATATATATATATATATATATATATATATATATATTTTTTTTTTTTTTTTTTATTATTCAACAACACAATTTTGGTTAAGATGCATCAAAGTCAGGCTTTATAAGTTTCTCTTGTAGAACTCATGCTTTTTTCAGAGAACTCTGAAAAAAGCCACTACTACTATTACTACTACTACTACTACTACTACTACTACTACTACTACTACTACTACTACTAATAATAATAATAATAATAATAATAATAATAATAATAATAATAACAATAATAATAGTAATAATAATACATTATATTTTACACCCACTACATAAAATTGACCAAAGTACAATTTTTACAATGTTGTAAATTGATGTTTCTTCCAGAGAGCATTGCAATAGATAAATTAATGCTTCAAAATCAAACAATGCACTCTAAGACTGTTCACATTGCAGCCTGAAGTGACCATTTTTTTTTACTTATTTTTTGTTTTATTTTGTTTCACACTTCCAAATATTGTGACTTGAATGTGATCTCCAACATGAACCGCATAGATCTGAAAGTGTCTCGCATGCACAGCAGAGGGCGTAATAATGTCACACATAGAGCGCATGCTCAGTGTTTTTCCAACACCCATAATAAAAATGAAGAAGAAGAAGTGCTCAGTGTTTGAGGAAGTAAACATGGATGCTAATGGTGGAGTGCATCTTATGATTCTGAAGTTGTTATTCAGCCAGAGCCAACATATTACCACTCAATCCTCATTAATCTGTCATGGTTGTTGTTTTCTTGCCGATTGTGATGTTTGTTAAGTATCGATGATGTTCAGGTCAGATGAGTGTGACCTGACTGTTCGGACTTAGATCATAGTTGAAAAAATTAGATACACATCGGATATCCCAGTGGTCTAGGGTGCATTTGAAAAAACCCGAGCTGTGTTCAGAAAAAAGATAAGTTATGGGTCGCATTAGGGGCAGAAAAATTGAAAGTAAGTCACTGCAGGCTGCAGTGTGGGTTCGTCTTTGAATCACCAACCAGCAGAATCACCAATTCTGTCCTTTCTGCAAGAAAGGGATTTCTCTTTTTATCACCCCACCCACTATTTTTCTGAAATACTGTAAGATATTTATTAGTAGGGCTTCTACTTCTGTGCTTACTCTTTGGTTTTTACCTCATTTTTTATTATGTATGTGCGTACGTGTGTGTGGAAAAAAAAGTTGTATCTGCTTCAGCTAAACCATGCTGTCATGGATTTTACTCTGTGCCTGGAGAAATGTAAAAGACTTGAAATGTTGAAAGAATTTGTAGACTCTAGGTTCTGATTTCTCAACAGCCCCAAGGTCTTCTGGCTCCAGCATTTGTGAAAGCTCTGTATCATCAATTTTCTCTCACTTTAGCTGGAAATGTGTTGATAAATAATTGAACCAAGAGAGAGGGATGAATAATATAGGACTCCAAATATTATAGCATTTATGATGAGGTCCAGTGGACCGTGTGGGGAGGTGAAGACATTTGCTGCACTCTGTGGTCTTTCTCACCATCTTCACAGCATTTCATATCCACCGTGAGATGCAGCTCATCTCTGGGCCAAACATTGGTATTTTTCAGCCAGCCTGTTGTGCAGCGGATCCATCTCCATCACTCTGAGTGTCTCTCCTCCAGCCACCACCGCAGGCTATAAATAGCCCCACCTCCTTTATACCACTTTCCAATTAAATTTCTTCCATTTGTCGACTTGGAGATGCCACCTTTAAGTGAATTATGGTGGAAAATGGTGACTGATAAAAGGTGAGTGTTGGGGAGCAAGCCTCTTTGTGCCATGTGAGAACTTAAGACAATGTATACCCTCAGTCCTGAAAGCTCCAGAATTGATAGATGGATAAGGGAAGAAACAATACAGGGGACAGACACAAGGAGAGGGGGAAGAGAGGCAGAGTGATGCATGACCCCCAATTTTTCAAGGCTTTGTAATAAAAGTCTGCAGTGTGGTGTTCTCTGTCTCTGTCACATTAAAAGTAAATAAGACTAATGGCATGGTACCAAAAACTCCACAGGGCTATGCTGTCCCCAAAGAGAAATCTAGAAGTGTACTTCACTCAGTTTGTTGCTGCACAAAGCATCCTGGTCTAAAAGGACAGGTCCTTATAATGTATTCATGTTCTTCACCATGTCCTCCACATGATGAGCAGTGAAGTTTGGGTCATTTAGATTTCCAAGGAAATTGCCTGAACTGTGATGCAGCTCCATCAGTGTAGATTTAGCATTGCTAATTTATTCAGCGTAACCATGAGGGGAACATTGAAGCTTGCCCTGAATTGTCTTCTTAAAAATCATTCTAAATAAATCCAAAATCAAAGGAAGGGATGTTTGTATGTTGCTTAAAGTTGGAAAAGGTTCTATAGTGTATATGTTTAGAGTAAAAATTATTCCCATTGTTAAATGTATAGGTAAAAGGGAGATACTTTCTAAGCCTGAAAACATCATCCCAACTATGAAGTATTGGGTCAACAGCATCATGTTGCAGGTGGAAAACCATTATGAGGAAGTACTACGGTAACATCTGAAGACATTAGCCAGGAAGTTAAAGTTTGGACTGCATGGATCTTCCACATGGACAAAGATTTATTTTAGCCTTTTCAGATCTGCTAATTCCTCTGCCTGAAAAACATAACATTATGATGGCAATATTTATTCCCATCCTACTTCTCCTGGATCATCAGAAACTGTCTGGAAACATGTATGAAATATATCAACAGCTGAATAGGAGCTCAGGTCCCGTTTTAAAAGCTTCAATCTTTTCACAAACTCGGTGCAGCAGTTTGGCTCATCTGATCTTAACCAGATGGCAGTGGAAAGTTGGAGGTGAAAAAAGTTTCTTCTGATTTTAATTTTCTATCAATCTGCTGTTTTTACCCCTAAACCTTCAAGACTGGCTTTCTTATTAAGAGTGAGGCTGAGTGGCAATGTAATTACCCTACAACTTTTGAAAATGGTGCAGCTAATTGGACCCGGGGGAATTTGAAGAAGTGGGTTGCTTTGGAGGGTGGATGTGAATGAGCTGTTAGTAAAATTTTGGCTTTTCGTTGTGTTGTTCTTGTCAGGATCAGGCTCTGCTGCTGAGCTGCATTTTAAAGTCTTGCTGCCTTAAATTAAGACCTTTGCCGCAATCAGGTTGCCAATTGTTTTTAAGGTGTATTAATTTAATTTTTGGTACAACACTGCTCTTTAAAAACTTTGCAGTGCCACTTCCTAAGAACAATGC